CTCCACCGTGTCTTTTCTATTTCTATCTGTGATACCATGCCCATCACTTTAATAAGGAAACTTAGCTTGCTTAGATATGATGCATTCTCATTCAAATCTTAAGCAAATTGCGCGCCCTTAGATTCATCTGTTATTTAAAGCTTGCCAACTTATCATAAGAGGCAAAACATAGCTGATATTCTTCTAATATTTAAATAGCTTAGCCAATTTTCCCAAATAAACGGAGACTTTTATGGCTTATTTGCACATAGCATATAATATTTTGTAGGCTAAATGAATTTTAGCGTATATAGTAAGACCAAGGTGGTGTGGCCTTAGGCTTTCTCGCAGTCTCCTTTAACTGTAGTGTTGGTTTGACTTCATCTTCGCCGCAGTCTGAGCGATAGAAGCACCTTGTGGAACGTTTTAGTTCTTACTTAGATCTTTGATTTGCTACATACCCAGATGTTTCGCTAGCATCACCAGTGAGAGGCGCCGCACTTAGCATAGAGTTACAACCTATAAAATTGACAGCTAAAAGCCAATTTTATGTTTAATCGTCGTGGAAACTCTCCTTCCCTCTTTGTCCCAACTTATGGCTCTGCAACCCTTTCCCTCAACTCCACTTCATATGGCTCATTTACTTATTCACATAATTTTGTGTCTTCCTTTGCTCCAGTCTCGCCTAAGAGTGTTTCATTTGAAGTGGATTTATTGAAGCGTGATCACCTTTACCTCCGGTTTTAGATGCTGCCCACATGGCTTCTGAGACTAATCATTTCTTTTATTTAGCCCCCTTCCAGTACTTGTCAACTGGGCCCTGCTACATGAAAATCACTGTCCCGTTATTCTCATGCATAGATAATTCTTCTCGTTAAGCTTCAGGCCCATGACCCAGTTATCCCCTTTCCTATCCCCGCCCCATTATCTCTCATTTAATAGGGCCCTATGTCTGGCTTCATTTGGAACCACTATTGTGAAGATGGATCTTTTGATTTCATATATAGCACACTTTTCTTATCTCTGACTTTGACAGTCCCATCTAATCCTAAGGTTCCAGTCAGTTGTGCATGCCCATGTTGGTTCATAACCTCGCTTGTCAGACCACCTCTCCTAACAAACACACATACGCACACTTGTGTACTAGGGACCAAATGATGTTGTACCCCACTTCAATTTCCAAACTTAAGTGGATTTTAAATAAATCAAGATCCTTAACTAAGCACTGTTCAGACGTTTATTGTCCTTCGATTCTATATCCCTAAGGTAAACCCACGCCGGTTACTTTTTAAATCGAATTCTAAGTTTGAACCCTCTCCCTGTAATCGCCTTCTTTAATTCTCATTTCTTCCTCATGATCCTTTTCCTTGAGACGTCTCTTCCTGCTGTATATATTTGACCCAAGCGTTTTCTTTTAGCTCTCCTTCCTGAATCCTAAATTCCTCCGAATCTGCCTAGGCAGTAAGCGAAATTCCCGCTGAATCTTCTCTCTTACAATCTTCTCTTCATTATACTTCTTTGAACTATGATTTCCACAGCTTACTTGGCCTTCCCATATGAGGGCAGTCTTCACATTGCGCTCCCATCATTCGTGTGGCTGCCCGTAGAAGTGTGTTCGACTATCTCCAGAATTTCCGTATCCAATGTTCTGTAGAAACGCTGGTGTTCCTTAATCTGTAGGCTGGTTGCCCTTCCCGTCTTTCCAATGTAGTTTTGCTTGCAGTCCTCGCATTTCATGCAGTACACTCCAGAGCACTATTTTATTACTCTTCCATGTTGTCTGGGCAAGCTGGTTATACTTTGCTTCAGGATTGTACGAATATTTAATTCTATTAGTAGCGGCCGTTGCTTCAGGGCTGATTCGCAGAACTGTAGACGTATAAATACTTTTTCCTATTTCATTTGTTTTCTCATAATTCCTATCTTTCCATCCGCTCATCACGACCTGTATATTTCATCCTAGTTCCACAAAGTCTCTCTGTAGCTTCGATCAAGTTGCGAAAACGAGTTAAAATGAACACGAAATGAATTATAATTAAACTTAACACAACAAGCCATTAAAAATCGCGGAATAAGCCTGGACTTGATTTTGATGCTTTTTTGAAGATGCCAAATCATTGAATGGAGCTAAGCTGGATATTAAGCCTAGCCGTTACAAGCCCTCTCTTGCCCTTATTAATTTGCATGCTTAAAACTATTTCCTTTAAGGGGTGCGTTAAATCGCCGCCTCGCCTCTTCTGAGGGTGTTACTCACGAGAATCTTCTGGATTATCTTGCTTTGATCGAGGAACGCATTAACCTTCTTCTTCTAGTCCGTCAGTTCATAGCAGCAAACGATCCCGAAGCCCCATATGTCGCTAAGACTATTCTCATTGGCAACAACTTGACCCCTGTTCCTGGACCGATACAGCCAATCATGCCGCCGAATTTACAAGAGGACTTTGACGAATGTAAGTTTTAACTAATTACTCGTTGCTTTGTTGTCGAATAATTTCACAAAATGAATTCCAAGCCTTATTACTAAATTCCAAAAACGATTATTTTTTATGAGGGACGGCATTATTCATTAATGCATATAAGCATTTTATTAATTGGTGTCTCGGTATATAGTGAATTAGAGCAGGCAGTAATAAGTAGTGAGTTTGGAAATCCTTACTATCATTTAAGACATGCTTACTAGTCAAACGACTTCTCTCATTTTTTATCTTACGGAGTTGAATGTAAGTGTTTGTATCAAGATATTTGGCCCTATGTCTCGATCGCGGTCTCTTTTCGCTGTACGGAATTTTTCTTACCTCGCTTTCGCAACTTAGTCACGTTGCCAGGACGATCTCGATCCGAAAGTGGAAATTGTCACAACGCCGGAAATCTTACACTAAAGTTAGTAAGTCGAGTTTAGTGGAAGCCCAATTAATATCTTAACGGAATAAGCAAGAGTTTGGAACGACTTGTATGTCGTTGAAAGGTACGCAGTACGTGTACTTGAATATATGTGGAGCCATGCGATAAAGGGATTAGCGTAATTGCATCTAACCGTAGCTATGAGCCTTGTCTGCTCTCACTAGCAATGCTGATTAGTCCCAGACAAAGTAGGAACTACAATTTATTCATATTGAGGTCCATCTTGGAGATACTAGGCAGGGTAAAGTTATTTAAAAGTTGCATAGTTTGCTTTGCAAATCCATTTGATATTCCGTATGGCCACAAGGACTGATGTAAGCTAAAGTAATACACCTACACCATTACGATTAGCCATAAATGTATAGGAATATTTTAACCCACCTTTCTAAGTCATCTTATTTCTGAAGAGACTTTCATTTTGTATGAAAGTACATGAAAAAGAGATTCGAAGGTCGATCTCACCAGAAGAGGACAGTTGAATTCTGCTGTACTGCGGCTGT